AGCACTAGGAAAAGAAAGTGATGCGAACAACTATAATATGGATGGAATCTTATAATTATATAAATGGGAAAAATAAATAAGCAAGCCATCTATCTTTAGCCCTTTTAGCAATATAAATAATAATACTATATTAAAGTTATATGTTTTAAGATATTGTCCTTATATTCTGCTTGCTTTGGCAGAGTCTTCATCTTTTAAATCATTAACTACGATAGTTTGACATAATAAATATTTGGTCCTTGTAGATGAAAAATAGTTTTATAAACAAACAAATCAATTATCCCGCTGGAGATACTTTTTCCACATTATCATCAATAAAAATATCAAAACCAGAATGAAAATACTTGACTCATTCATATCTGGTAAGTTTCAGAGTTTTTTCTTGTTAATGGGTTCTGAATTCCTTTTTCTCCGTGGATCGCCACCTGATTGATGGATCACTACTCATTATTTAAATTGTCTGCTTTCTTGGAATAATCAAGTTATTTTTTAGACAAAGAAGCAAATCCTTTGATACGGACAAGAATGGTCCTTTCTCATAAAACACTTTATCACTTCTAACAATACATAAAATCATTTAATGAATAATACGAAATCTAATATAAATCGAGCTTAGGCATCAGATTAATCATACACAGGTGCATTCTTGTTGCTCTGGTTAAAAAATCTAAAGGCGAATGTAATGATGATTAAATAATCAGCCATTACAACAACAATAATAGAGGTGATGATGATGAATTGAATTATAATTAATATAAATAACATACAAAGATGTCAATAAATTAAAAATTAAAATTATCTGGATAGAAAAAAATCCAAATCCCAAAATTATTCCCACTCATTGGCTCAACTTTTCCATTCCTGGATAACTCGGTACTGTATACCATTGCATAAAAGAGTTGTGGATGTATGCCTCAGGACCCTGCATAGTAACTTGATATTATGAAGCTAGAACATTAGAATGATATCTAATAACTGTGATTGATGTGGGTATATAGTTAAAAATATCAAAATTTTGAACTTGAATACCTTACATTGGATATATACTCTTTGATCTGCAAATTGCAATTCGATAACTTTCGTGATTACTTTTAAGGGATAAAGCCGAAATGTAATTCGGAGTTCCCAACTTGGCGATATCGGCTGGCTGGCTAGTGTATATTGTTCTAGCGGCTGAAATTTTATTTGTACAACATCACAAAAAAGTATTCAACTTAAAAAAAATAGCCAAGGGCATTACAAAAAACTATGCCGTTCATAATGTGCTTCTTTTAAACACATTACATACTATGTTTATTATTAGAGTTTTCTGAGTGTTCGATTTGACCTTTTTGGGTGAAAAAAAATTTTTTTTAAAAAAAGAAAATTTGAAACAAAAACAATTTTTAAAAATTGGTTTACGAAAAAATTGGTACAAAACAGAACTGGCTATTTTTTTATTTTGTCAATGATCATAATGACGTACGTACGCATTAGAGTTCTCCATTTCAAGAAAACTATAATAGTGCGCGATTGGAGGACAAGCACTGAGAAACCATCTCCAATATGATTTATATTGTAGAATCCACGCCAGCTTATTTGGATGAATGACGTTAAAAATGATAAAATTAGCCAAATAGGTGGGATTGTCTATTTTGCTCAGCTGATCGTTTTCACGCACGAATGTTGAGATAGACTGTATAGACTGTGTTACGAGTAAACATTAAAGCCTTTTATTTTTGACTTTTATGATTGAATATATATATAGTGTCAAGTTTTCAATGATACTAAAAATAGTTTTATACATGAATGGCTTGCTTGTTGAATTACGCCTTAAAAAAATCAAAATAAATAAATTATAAATATAAATATTCTTTTTTTTTGTTATTACAAAAAACGTATTTATTTATTATATGTATATTTGTATAAAAGGTGGTTTTTTTTATACATAAAATAATAAAAATCCCTCATCGAAATAATAATAATAAAAGCAAGGAAAAATAAAATAAAATAAATAAATAAAATAAGAATGCAAGCAAGCAAACTAAAGCAAAAAAGGAGGACATTAATTAATATATAAATAATTGAAAAAATAAATATATAATTGAAAAGGTAAAGGATGAAAAAATTGCGTATATATAAAAAAGATATATATGAAATATAATCGACTACATAAAATGAATCTAAAATATATGCTTTGAAAACTTGTTAGTATAAATAATGTGAGTTGTTCAAAAAGTAAAAGAGAAATTATGAAAATATTTTGGAGATTAATTTGATACAGTATTAATAAGCCTTGGCGATAAATTTTAGCAATTCTAACATTTCTAGTCACCTCCGCTTCAACTATTTCAAGTTAAAAAAATTAGATTGAATTAATCACACACATTCACACATTTTAACAATAATAATTAGATATAAAGATTACTTGATTATCGTGAAGCATGCGTTGTTGACCAAGAAATGATGTTGGTTTACGTCTTTGAATTGAAACGTGATCGCCTTGAATACGTCTACCTATATTATACCAAGCACTAGTCATTAAAGTAAATTCTTCTGCGAATTGTTTCTCCATTTCAATGATTTTAACCTGTATGTGTAAATATTGTTTATATTTAATAAAAATGATAAATGATAATGACGATGATGATTGATTGATGATGATTGATTGATGATGATAAATTTAAATTTTAAAATATAATTCTTTTTTCTTTTTACTTTATAGGCTTCATTTTCTCTCTTAAGTTTGTCGAGTATGCTATAATATTCTGCCAATATTCTCTTACTGTTGTCAAATTTCTTGTTGCTATCTGCAATCTGTTTATGGAATTCAGCAATTTGATTTTTGGTATCTTCGCCGTAGTTGTTAGTCTCCAAATTCTTGAGGAAGTCCATGAGTTTTCTTTTTTTTTTAAAAAAAATGTTTTATTAATGTTAAAAAATTAAATATCTATAAATATTATATGTGTTATATGTATGTATATATATATATATATAAAATTACAATATAAAATTACAAAATAAAATCTATATATCTAGAGATGATGTATATTTTGTATCCATATATCCATAAAAATACAAAGTTAAATATATATTATCTATTACTACGTACTCATTCTGTCGTTTCAAATCTCCATTCTCAGCTTCCAACTCATTCATTCTAATTTCGAGATTAGCTGTAAAAAAAAACCAATATAAATAAAATCCATGACTTTTTTGTTTTTGAAAAAAATTTTTTTTTTTTGATTATGCTTTGTCTTTTCTCTGTCCCTTTATAATTCCCTTTTTTTTTTTCGGTGACTTATCTGAATAACACACGAAAAAATGTAAAATTCGTCTTTCGAAAAAGCCACACTTACGATCTGATTTAGTTTCATTTTCCTTTTCGAATTTGGAATGTTTAAGTTCTGCCTCTTCAAATTTGGAAAGTTTAATTTCTGCCTCGATAAGTTTACGTTTGGTATCCATCAATTCGCTGCTATCACTATTTATCACGCTACTGCCCAACCTTAAAACAATAAATAAATAATATATATATATATAAGTTGAAGTAATAGTAGCATTTTTAATTTAGAGAAAAAAATCCGACCGACTAACCCATTAGAACTGGCACCACTCTTGTATCTTGCAAGTTCGCTTTCTAAAACATTTTTTTCCTTTTGAGCTTTAATATACTCCTAGAAAGGTGATAGTTATTGTATTATATTGAATTGTATTGAATTGAATTAAAAATGATAAAAATATATAAATAAAAATGACAAAAGGTTGTTACCTTTTCATATTTCTCTTTCATACGTTTTGTGTCATCCAACACATTTTGAAGTACTATTAAGTTCGATTCAACATTGCTATCTGCAGATTTACCCTCACGTAGTCTTGTTAATTCACGTTCTAATTCAAGAATTTTTAATTTCAATTTTGTCATAGTTGTGCCTTTTAAAGCGTCTGAAAGTTCACTATCATTAATTGATTGATCAATGTCATATGAATCATTCTTCTCTTCTTCATCCAATTTAAGCGGTTCTCCTATTATAACATTATCATTATTATGAATATTAACATTACTTTAAATATATATGTTTTACGGTTATATATATATTTATGTTTATTTATATCTACGCACCATCACCTAATTCCAATTCTTTTATTCTATCTTCCAATAATTGTATTGTTTCCAAGTCACGGGATTTGTCTAATTTAGAAGCTTCTGCTTCAGCTCTCCAATGTTTATATTCATATTCATATTTATTTTTCTCACTCAACAATTCTGTTCTCTCGGTTTGAAGATCAAGGATTTGTTGTTTATAATTTTCCATTAATGTTTTAAAGTTTGCTACTTTTTGATATTTATCTTCAATTGCTTGATTACGTTCAAGAAGATTGCGGTTTTCTTGTTCTAAAGTCTAAGAAAATTCACAATAATTATTAGTAATAATAATAATAATAATAATTTTTCAATTAATTGTTTTTTTTTTAATCATAACCTTTACAAATATATATATATATATATATATGTAGATACCTTGAGAGTCCTTCGTAAATCTACACCATCTTCCAACTTCTTTTTATATTTTTCAATAACGTTTTCAGTTTTTTTAAGTTTATCAGCTGCATGTCTATATTCATCAAGCTGATCTTTAAGTTTTGCTGCCTCATCTGCATATCCTTTTGATGCCTCAACCTAATAAAAATTAAATAATTTAAGCATTAAAAATGAATAAACATACACACGTATGCATTTAATATATATATTTACTTTACGCGTGAGATCCGTTATCACTGAACTTGAACTTTCAAGCGCTAATTCAACTTCATGTCGTTTTTTTTCACTTCGAGCTCTTTTTTATTTTTAACAAATATATATGTGAGTGTGTGTGTTAATAATTAAATTGTTTTTTTTTTTTTTAAAAAAAAAGAAAAATACTGCAATTATTTATAAACAATTTCTAATATAGACTTACAATTCATGCCGAAGTTGATCAGCTTCTGTTTTCAAAAGGAATTCCATTTTACCACCTTGAGAAGATTGTGGTATAGCTATTTCCATATCTTTTAATTTTTGTTTTAATTCTTCTGCTTCGGCTTGCAGGTCATCCTAAAAAGACAATTAGTTAAATATAATGATACATATAAATAATTAAAAAGAAAAAATAATTACACATTGATCACGTAGTGTTGTGTGTTCTTCCATTAAAGCTTGATGTGCTTTTTGAAGAGCTTCTTTTTCAGCCAAGGCTTTATTAAATTCTGAATTCATTAGTTTCATTTCATCTTCTCTATATAAATATAATATATATGAGATTTTTTTTTTTTAAAAATCAAAACATCTTATTATAAAGATCAAAAATTTTTTACGGGTTATAGCTGGCCTGTTTGTCAGGAGTTGGTACAGCTGGATCACCTAATCTCTTCATAATCTATTGAAAGTAAATGTGCATATATATTAAGAACATCGTTTTAAACAAAATGAAATAAAATAAAAATAGCAGCAATTGAATCCTAATAATAATGATATAATAATCCAAACACTAATAATAATACAATGGCTAAAAATAACAAATCTGATACGTACGCTTTCAATGGCCACCATTAAACCTTCTTGGGATTTTGGGCTCATAGTTTGAATTTTTTCAATGTAAACTGCATTGTTTGGATGCCTAACAGCCATGGTCACCACTAAAGAACATAACTTAGTTGTTTCATTTACATCACCATCTCTTACCAATGAAGTTAGATTTATTTTTTCAAGGTTGTTTGTGGAAAGACCAAGGACTTCTTCGTAATAACGTGTGAGGAGCATATACATTCGTTTAAGTCTATTGAATTTTATAACCCAATTTTCTTCACGAGCATCTAACCGCTGTAACTTGAACCATTTTGGATCACTGTTTGTTGATCACACACGCGCATATGATGAATATAGGTATTCTTTGATACAAATAAAAGTAAAAAATATGACAGTCTTAACTTGAAATTCTTTCCATTTAGACTTACATGTCACATACGATATCGATCATCACAGTGCCGTCAGAAAGGTCATTGATGCTTGAAACAGAAGAGGAAAACTTTTCAAAAGTATTCACCTAATTTTATTATTATTGTTAAAAAGATACAGTTATGTAAGTATGTATGTATGTTTGTTTGTAATCTCTGTTGTAAAAAAAAAAAAAAAAATCCTTTCATCTAAATCTTAAAATAAATACCCAGTCCACGAATGCTTGCGGTTGGGCCATTTTTAAATCATACAATAACTTTGCAGTTGGTCTTATATCAAAGAGGGAATACCATCGATTAACAATTAATAATTAATTATTATGAAGTGATTTCACTTCTTACTTAAAAAATAAAAAGTTGGTAATTCTTTGTTTCTTTCTTTTAAAAAAAATAACAATAAAAAAAATATTTGGTTTACCAAAAATAAAGAGAGAATATAATATATAAAATCGCAAAAAGAGATGTTAAAAACTATATAGATTACTACGCAGTTAGTTTGTTGTGTGAATGGATATATATATATATACAGTATATTATTATTATTTAATTATGGACTGAGCGAAGGTACACAAAGCAATATCGCGAATGTATTTTTTCCTTTCGTCTACCACTATAACAATAATAAATAATAAATATTTTGATCAATGAATGAAAGTGGCTTACGTCAACAAAATCACTATTTTTACTTTACTAATGATGGATGCATAAAAAACTATAAAAAATTTTTTTTTTCTTGTTAAACAAACTTGGGGTTACTCATTACCAAAAATTGGTAAAATACTTTTACTACTATTATTATGGACATGTTCTTGATATATATATAATATATAAGCATATAATGAAATTTTGCCATTATTATTAAAGTTTTTTACCTTGTTACATTTGTATATATTAAAGTGAATATAAAAGTAATGATCTACAGGATTTCATTAGTGATAATGGTGGTAACAGGACCCCGAAAACTTTATAGGTTGATAGGCATAGTTAAAATCGGCTTTTTATTGTGGCTGGTGGAATCAATTGAACAAGAATGTGTGATCGGCATTTATATATTATTTATATTATAAAGTTACTTTAAAAATGAACATATCAAGGTGTCTTGAAATTTTGCATATACTTTTCTTTATATTGGACCTAAAATAGCAAAACGCGACAAAAAAAATTTTTGTGAATGAACAATCGTTCATCATAAAAATAAAGGGCCTTGCATCATCTGTGGTCCCCGAAGAAAAGTTTCAACAATTGGCACAAGATACTTTCTTAAGAGTCCTACATCCCAAAATTTATCTCTAAACAACAGATCAATTATATGGGACATTAAAAAAAAAACAACATGTGACGTAAAAATTTAATTTAAGGGTTCAAGAACATGATTATGATTTAACAATTAATGGTTCATCTGTTATCTTTATTTTTTTCTTTAAGTGGTATTATATACTTGTCTCCCAACTCAAAAGGCAAAGTCCTAAACCCAAAACCCAAATGAATTGGTAACACATTTAGATACGAATTTGGAAAGTGTTGTATAAATTACTAAATTTGTACTAGTTTCGTGGTATTTCGAGGGAGGTTGGGGTTTGGGGCTTTTGCACCTCAAAGTCCCAAGTAGTTTTTACCTATTTGGTTTTTGGACCTTTTTTTCACTTACCACGAGTATTTTTAATGTGTAGACTGGTCAGTAGAATGATAATTAACCCTAAAACAATTTATTTGCTCCGCTAAAAAACTATTTTACTATTCAACAACCCGTCAAACCAATGGCCCACATCTAACCTAATGGGTTTTTGCTAGTATAAAGTATTCATAACGTTATGATCATATCGTACTGGATTTTGGAGCTCAAACAAAATCAGCGCATATGGATTTGGGATTTGGAATAAATGGTAGATAGAACTATTCCTATATAATATGAAATTAATTCGCATCAGATCACTATGGAACCCAGGAATTACAGCGTTATTAAGAGTATTTTGAAGAAAGAACAAGAGGAAAAGACTGCTCCCTATGTTTTCAAAATAAATGATACACAGACACTTGAAGCTTATCTGAGGAAAGAAAGGATTATCTATGAAATTTACCAAGAAAGAAAAATTTATAATCAGTAAAAGAAAATTAATACAGAACCTCGAAGAAAAATAATTTACTTTGGTTTAATTGGCTAAAAATAAATTTGACAAAAGATAATTCGTGTTGGTTGGTTTGGCTTCCTTGGGTTTTACTTCAACTATTTCCCCTGGTTTCTTTTTTAGGCGAATTTTCTCACTTATCTTTTTTGTAGTAGTTTGTTCTTTTTCCTTGGTAAAAATTTATTGGCTAAATATAATTCTTGTTTTAGTTGCTGAATTCCTTTGATTTGTTGATTTATTCTTGATTCTTGGCTGTCTCTAATTGCTCTAATTTTAATTGTCTTTCTCTTCATTCTTTAGCTGTTTTCAAGGCATTAAAATGTATTTCTCAACATTCTCGGCTTGTTGCTTTCGGTCTTCAATAATTTTGATTACTGTGTTACTTTTTTTCTCAATTGGTTAAAAAGTTCTTCTTTTCAATTATCTTTATCTGTCCCTATTTCTTCATCAGTTGGCTTGTGATGTTTTAAAACTATTTCAGCAATGATTTTCTCAAAGTTTTCATACTCTTTTTCAATTCTTGGCCAAGTCTTCTTTTTCTATAGTAGCATCAACTAACTCCAGACAGAATTCTTCAGATGCTAAACAAAAACCAATAAAATCTTGTGATATAGTCAAAATTTTTAACTAATATTTCTTTCATTTCTTCAGCTTTCTTCTTTTATTGTAATTGTAATTCTTGATTATTTTCAAGTACTTAGATTTCGTTCATTACCATAATATTTTTTATTTGTTTGTTTTGGACAAGTGATATCATAATTTACAGGTATTCTCGCCTCTTATAATCCAGAAGAGGAGGTGTTGTAAAGCTTTAATTTCTTTTGTAACTTCAGAAATATCTGCTTTCCTAATTTTCAATAAAATAAGATCCATTAGCGACTTGACAACACCAGGATTAGATGCTTCAAAAGAAAATGTTGATATTTTTTCAGGCCATTGAATTTTTTAAAATAAATTCCCAAAACAGATTTACTGTCCAAGTATTGAAAGCCTTTTCTTGCTTCATAGAATTGAATTTTGTTTAGTCCTGCTGGACTATATACAGTCAAATCTCGATAAACCGAACTACCATAAACCGATTTTCGCTTTATAACGATGCAAAATTGGCTAACT